TGGTTAAGAAAAACCCTGGGATTCGGCCAAATCGCGGCAAAAAAATGCACTTTTGAACCGAAATTGCGATTCAATGATTGAAAAAATGAGCGCCGCAGGCAAAAATTTTTGAAAAATGGTGTTTCTAACACTAAAAACCGACTTGCGAACAGCTATAAAAAGCGCCGCAGGCAGAAAAATTTTCCAGAAAACCATCATAAGGGTCCCCCTGATGAACTTTTCGGTTTTCGGGCGATTGCGGGGCGGGGGGGGGGGAGCGGCTCGCCTGGGGCGTCCTGAGAGCGCCCCAGGCAGCAAACTTAGCGAAAATTGGGATACATTTACTGAAAAAACAGCGCCGCAGGCTGAAATGTTTGAAAAACGGTGCCTATAGGATAAAAAATAGTATTAAAGAGCGAGGAAAAAGGCGACGCAGGCAGAAATTTTTTTGAAAAAAACTGTGTCTATATCCTATCCTATAAGCGAGAAAAGTATGTGTGTTTTCTGTGCAGACGATTTCTCGGCCGCCAGCCCGAATTCCCGGCTGATTTTTGGCATGGAGGTGGAGAAACACATCTTCTTTATAAGCATTTTTTTGTTTTTCGAAATTCCTTCATTTAACGATCTTACAAGCAAAATAGTGAAAAACCCTTAACATTTTGGTCGAAAAAAGGTTTGTACAGAGGATATCTCGCGATCCAAATGGAATTCAGCTTTAATTTTTGGAAGGCGAATTGGAAATAGAATTCTCCCGATATATAATTTTGCGTTTCGCCAGATTTTGTAAAATAAAGTTTTTATGAGCATTTTTCTAAAAATTCCTTAACAAAATGGCCAAAGTGCCGTGGTGTTCGGGCCATAACTCGAGATCACGATGGAATTTCGGGCTGGAATTTGGACAACTTATGTATTCGATATTAGGGATCACGCGCATCTTATTATCTTTACAAATTTTCCGGATATTCAAACTCAAAAATCGAATTCTGTAAAGGGACCAGTAGGCCTCACTCCGAGATCGTTGGGTCGCCCTTTCTTTGCCTTCCCCGCGGGGATTCTCCGGAACAGAAGAGGGCTTTCACGCCGCCTCTTCCCACCTGGGCCATGGTGTAGTGGATTTACGCTCGGTCTACCACGCGCATGGTCGTGGGTTCGGATCCTGCGAGAATTTAATTTTTTGCTTTTTGGTATTTCAGCAACAAAACATATTTCTAGGCTCTCGGTGTGCGAGTTTTAGGCCTGGCGGTGGCTCTAGCGCCGCAGGCCAAAGAAAAGGTCTTTGATTACGCTCTAGCGCCGCAGCCAAATAATGGGCCTTTGACCTAGGCTCTTGCGCCGCAGGCCAAATCTTGGAGAAAAACCAGTAACTAGCGCCGCAGGCAAAAAGGTTCTTGCGCGAGGTTTAGGCCTGGCACTCGCTCTAGCGCCGCAGGCCAAAGAAAAGGTCCTTGGCCAAGGCTCTGGCGCCGCAGGCCAGAGAATGGATCAGACTCAAGTTCTTGCGCCTCAGGCAAAAAAAGAAGGTATTGGAATTCATCGTTCCTGGACGGGGTCCAGTGGAAAAGGGCCGCGAAGCGGGCTTTTTCCACTGGTTACAAAAATAAATAGCGTTTAAAAGCCATAAAAAGGCGCGGCAGGCAGAAAATTTTTGCGAAAAAAATCATAAGGGCCTTATGAGCTTTCCGGGCTCGGTCGATTTTGGGGGGAGGTCTATTTCTCCTCACTCTTTATTCTTGTCGAGGGTGCCGTGAACAGGTAAGCGCTCTGCCGCGCTAACTTACCGTTAGTAACCGGAATAAAGTGCTTTAGCAATACGGGTTTCTGCTTTACATTGCCCTGTATTCTCCCTGCTCTGGGCTTTCTATCGCTATATAGATCATTCCGATCCGTTACTTCTCCATGGAGTTACCGCCGTATCATTATTGGCTATTTTGGGCCTTTCCTCCAAATATTAGTCCATTAATGATGCCAAAAATAATCTCCTAACAACACCCAACCCCATCTGCCACCCTAACATTAGTGCCAAAAAAATGCGGGAAAATTCAAACTTCTAGATCAGCAGCCCCCTCCATGGGGGCAGCAAAAATGGCGAAAAAAAACGGACGGGGCACCCAAGGCCAGGATTTCTTATCAGGTCCCGGGATCCCTCTCTCGATGTCTTGCCCAGACATCTGTTCATATGGAGTCTGAGCCTCCGCGGACACTAATGATAAACCTATTTAAGCACTAACGTCGTCGTTTAGATCCCTTGACCTAGATTTACGCTATTTATTGCATGATGCTAAAACGTTTTATTTATTTATTTTAGAACGCGATTCGGATAATAAAAATTGCATAGCGCAAGGACATAACTAATGGGCCGTAAAACTACTGCGTGTTTTAATATGCTTACGAAAAACTCTAAGCCGTAAAAACTGGTTTGGTCCTATTTTGATTCTCAGTGCTTATAAAATTAGACGGCTCTATTTAAAAAAAAACTTCAAGCAGATGAAAAAATGCGCCTTTGCGAGCACTACAATCCCTGCTGGTTGGCTTGACGTCAAACTCGACGAGGGCCGAGATAATAGCGTTCAAATGTCTATCTTTTGACGCACACTGTGGAAGCAATTCGACTAATCCTTAAAATATTTCCGTAACTTAACTTTTAAGTCTTGGTTTGACAATTTTTAATTCCGTCATCTTTAAAATCAAACGTTCTGTTGGAGCTATCAATCCCAGTTTTAGTTTTAATAGTAAAAGAAATCAAAAAACAACTTATTAACTATTTTTACGTTGAATCTATAGTAAGTCTACGACGTCATTAATGCTCGAACAGGTCGAAAATTCACTCTGGAATTCTTTCTCCATATTAGCAGATGGTTCGGGGTCAGAGCACAGAGACATTTTTGAATTACTCAGATCAGCATGATAAGAAATCCTGGCCTTGAGTACCCTATCCAAAAAAAACATAAGGGTACTACTCGGCCGGGCCCGGGACTGGCTCCGCGAATTTGCATATTTTTCCGGGTCCCAGCGTGGGTGATTTTTTCATGCAAATTAGATTACAGGCCGGGCCCCGGGGCTCGGCCGTCCCAGAATCGCCATGTCTGAAAATTATTGATCGTTAGCACTAGAAAACTAGGTGCTTTTCAAATAGGCGGGGGGGAAGATTGGCGGGGGGCACACTGCGTCTATGCGCCCGCCCTGCTCTCTAGGCCCCCTCTGCCTATAGGTCCTCTCCCCCCCCGGCTATTTGAATTGGACCGAAAACTAGTATGTACAAAAATTATTCATGTCCAAAATTTGAATTAGCTGCGGGATGGTTGGAAGTAGTGATGGTATTATTCAAATCTCAAATCTAATTTGCACCCGCCTAATCAAATCTGCCGATTTGATTTGAATAAGGTTTCAGCACTTCAAATCAAATCGATTTGATTTGGACTTTCGAGGGTTGAGTTCGAATCTGAAGATCTGAACGAATCAAATCCGCCGATTTGAAATTGTAATTTTTCCTTTAAATATTCAGATTTGACCCAAGATTTGATTTGAATAACCCCATCACCAGTTGGAAGGATCTTGCGCTCTAGTCAAACATACGTGTGACGCGGATCGACAGCGAATTTTCTCGTGCCATTCAAGATAATCGTGGACCATTTCTTGGCAGAGTAGCGGCAGCCGTGAAAAATCGAAGGAGCTTCGCATTCTATCCGCTTGAATACCTATTTTGGCTTTTCTGAATGATTGAACGGAAGAAAAAAGCGGGTTAATGGGGGCAAGCAATTCGTATGCGTTCAGTCGGCCCCTGCATCGCAGTTCCCGCCTAAAAGGCCAATTACTCGCCATGTGTCAGACCCCCGGGGCAGCATAGGGATTATGATTTATCGATTCATATCGCGGCTCTACATATGTGCATTTCACATGTGCCTCTGCGATAATCCGTCTTGGCTCCCGCTTTCTCTTTCTTGCCGTGTCGTAATATCCGTCGTTATAAACCGTATATTTGAAAAGCCACAAGCGCACAAGTCCACGTAAAAATTCCATAGGCTCTAGAATTGAAATATCGTCGGAGGGACCGCCCGCCGGTGGCGGCCGGTCCCCAAATTTCTTTCCGAATTTTGTGAAACAGAAAAAAAACGGTCAATCGCAAACCAACCAACACACGCACAAAACACGGGTGAGAATGGGACGGAAAATTGATCACAATCGGTAGGTGTCGAGCGTCGGAAATGGACGGGGGCGGGGGAGGGAGGAGCACGAGGAGGAGAAAGAAATCAACGGGGGGAAGAGACGAATATCAAAAACAGAATGACACTCCACGAAATGGGCCCGGAAGAAAGGCTGAAACAGGGGGTAATTTGGGGGTTGGCCTTTGGAATAAATGACGAGGGGCAATTGGGGGTACATTATCGGAAAACAGCAATGACGGCCGTGGAGGTATTGAAGGAGGAAATGGCTGAAAACTGGGTCTAGCCAGCCAAAAATTGGTTCATACTTTGTATTTTTATGGCAAAAACCTGACCAGTTCGGCGCTCGGTGCTGGTTCATTAGCGGGGGGGACATACTTTTTCCAATTTCACCCAGGTCTTTGTCACAAATTCAAAATTTTTCAGGGGATTTGACGCCCCTTTTTAGATTTAAAAAGGTCCATGAAAGCTCTGGTTAAAATTTTAACAGTTTTTAATCATTTAAAAATGTCTAATTTTTCAGTCATCAGAAACCATCTAAAACAATAAAAAAATACTCGTTTTTGTTCATTACTATCGGGAGAAAGGCAGAATAAAGGATTTGCTGCTGAATTTGCTTTCCCCCCGTTAATGCACCAGAACCTAATTTCCAATTGCCTCCCTAGATACTTTCACGCCTACCCTAAACCATACACCATATCCCGATTTACCGGATAACAAATAACAAAAAAAGGGCACGCTTAACAAATCGATATGCGCGGGCAAATGGGAGGAGGGGAATATTCTTAGAATCGGAGACCGGGAATAATTGGGGGACAATACGGTAGCCTATGAAAGGCGTATGAAAGAGTGGCGTGTCTATTCGATGACCTTCAGCACCTTTCCGATGGCCAGCGTCTTGCCCTCGTCTCGAAGCGTGAATCGTCCCAACGTCGCCAAATCCTTGAACGGTTCCAGGCAGAAGGGCTCCTGACTCTCGAAGCGCAGGATGCACTTGTCGTCCTGGCGCACAAATTTGGCGCGCTTCTTCTCGCCCGTCTTCTTGTCGACGGTGGCGATGACGAGCTGCAAAAAAATGAATCAATAAATCAATTTCAATATCAATCAATAACAATTTTTTTGTACAAGGTCTAGAAATGCCTAGTAACTAAATCGCAAGTATTTTCATAATGTTTTTAGGAAAATAAAACTATATTGAACTGGAAAAAACCTCGAATAATCGAAATTTTGGTCAAAGGTTTGGGTCGAAAAACCGATTTTTCATATTCTAAAAAATGTGTAATGTTTTTACATTTAGGATAGTAAAAAAAACTTAGAAACAGTTCAAACTTAGAAACAATTTTTAGCGAAATTTCGGTTACCCAACAGAAATACTACCGCGAAAAAATAGGTTCGAATTAGAAACACTTCCGCTAGTTATATCACAAAAAAATTGAATCGTAAGAAAATTTGTTTGTTTCAATTGTTAAGTTTTAAAACCCCACCTTGACAACCACTTCTTCGACTGCGGATTGGATGTGCAGCACGCAGGTGTAGCCAGGAGCGATGATCGACTTGTAGTCCATGATTAGCACCTATAAAGAAAGTAATAAAATTGAAAAACTAAATAAAAAGTATTTAAACACAATTTTAAAATCCTTTACCTCTGCATCAAAGATTCGGCCAACTTTCACGGGCGCATCAGGAGATGACAGGACGAAGCCACCTTGCAGTTCGCTTTCTTCGACTCCCTGAAAAGTAATTTTATTTTTGAAGATTTCAACGGTACCTTCAGCTTGAACTTGACGTTGTCGCCACGGCGGCCTTTTTGTCCACCTCGACGTCGTCGCACCAGCATTGCAGAACTTGCACCATTGTCTAAAAACAGGGCTTGAAATGAAATCTTGCACTTTCCTACCTTGTTGGGGCTGAGCAGGAGCGACTGATTCTTTGCCACGACGCCGGATTCCATTTTGCCGAAAACGATCGTGCCCATGTCCTGAATCAGGGAAATTAAACCTGAGGTATAAAAACAATACCTTCTAACAGACAGTACTCACTTTTGGATTTTTTTGCCAGAATTTGAAGCTTCCTAATTCACGAAACTGGTTTTGACGACTTTTATTAGCCAAAAAAACGCCATAGAAATCTCGCTAATTAAACCAGGTTAGTGCTTTCCATCACTGCTAAAATACCATTACCATAATACGAATACCTATAAAAACCTTACCGTATATTTGTCCACGACGATGCACCGAACGGGGCCGTCGTAGTCACGATTGATGGACGCCATCTGGTTGTCAATGTATTCGATGAAGCAGGGTCCACTGAAAACCGCCACAATTTTGTAAATCCATATAAAAACGTGCCTCTAAAAAGAAGCAAGAGAAACGGAATAACATACCTGTACCATGAGCCCTTCGTCAAGTCGGTCGGCCGGTCCTTGATGAAATCTCCAGTCAATCCTAAATCGGTTTTGAAGTGGTAAGTTAAAGGGCTGCCGACGGCATGTGTCGATCCCCCCCATCGGCAACAAATTGGCAAGTAGCCAACAGGGCAGAGAAGCGCGCGCCCTGGGAGAGGCGCAGAGAAATTTTCTTTCCAGCGCGTAACCGATTGATTATGCCGTCGGCATCCCTTTAAAAGCCTTACCAGAGCACGGGATGTAGGTGATGTCGGTCTTCGGGTTGAAGCCGCACTTCTTCAAGTAGGGCGTCAGTTTGCCATGGATCTCGTCGTACCTGTAAGGAATCGAAAAAGTCAGAAAATTGCTAAATTGGTCGACTCAAAAATCACTTGTTTCTGGGACCAAATTCGATGATTAAAAAAATAAAATCAATAATCCACGACATCTAGTCTTTTTCACAAGGAAATCCGGGGGAACATGTTTCAAGAAAAACTTAAGCACTAAATTTAGCCTTGAATGTGGCATTTCTCAGCCCCTTCA